TAGACCCTCACGACACTTCGAGTCTGACACTTGAGTGTCATAAGCGGTACTCGGATCCACGAGGGACCGCTTGATTATGGGCACTACATAGTACGCCATCCTTGCGACTGCTTGCGTACGCTTGCATTGCGAGTCGATATGAGTTGGCCCTGCTCCCACGCAGTTTTATATTGAGTCTCATGCGCGACGCCTATTCGATTTCACGTCGAAAAGTTATGGGACGGTTACCGAGGGGCTAGGAGCGTTGTCGCGTTGTTTGTGTTGTGTCGTTTCGTACGTGTGCGTGTTTTTTTTTTTTTTTTTTCGCAAAGTGGTGTGCGCGTGGTGTGTGGGATATGTCCTAGTCGACCGACGACGGGCCGCGCTTGGGACTTCAGCCCCTCAAGATGTCGGTTCACGTGCGGGTCCGATAGAGACGTATTACCACGCGTACCCCCTATGCTATAGCGAACGAGAAACGCTCTCGGCTGGTCGACCTCTGCGATTGCAGATGATTAGCTTTCATACTGTGGACTGGTAACTCGGTGGGGATACGCCCACCGAAGGGAGGTGACAGCACCCGTAAGGTGTAGGTAAGTCGTGTCTCATGTAGGCCCTATCTTGTCGTAGGGGCTCGCGAGAGGTATGGCTGGCTTACTAGGCCGGAGCGGCTTAAGGAAGTTCCACATGTATTTATCTGCAACGAAGGATTTTAAATCAACTCCTAGTGACGCGGCCGGGAGGGTCCTGCGCTGCCGCGTGCGGTGCCGGACCATTGCGCTCGACATGTGGCGCCGTTGCCGTGCATAACGGAAAACCTACCGTTGTCCCTGATGGAACGACATCCGGGTATGAGAAGTGAATGAGAAAAGGTCATAAAGGAAGGACGAGAAAGTGAGGAGAAATAATGAATGACTAAGTATAGGTGAAAAAATTTACCTACCTGAGTAAGGGAAGGTATGAAGGACGGACGTGTAACATTGGGTAAAGGTACGCAGTAAGAGTTAGGAAGGACGGATGGAATAGACCGGTCAAGGTGTAATGCTGAATAAGGGGATTTGCTTGTTTTTCTCTTGTCAGGGAGCTTGAAGAAAAAGGTCTGGCAAGATGTTGCAGGGCGGCGGCGCATCGGGTGCCCCCAAGAAGGGCCTGACGCTCGATGACCTCATAGCGGCTATTGACAGGCACGAAAGGAACCCGAGCAATATTCCCAAAGTCGATACCTTCCATTTTTGTGGGGAAAGGGTTTCAGAATGGCTGGAGCGGGTGGAACAAGCTTTGGTCAGGCGGTCGGACGTTGTAAAGTTCCAACACATTCTTAAGTATGTCCTCCACAGCTACCACCAGGAAGTGAAGAAAGTCATAGATGCGGCCCAAGGTAGCTGGGAGAGGTTCAAGGAGGGGATGCAAAGGAAATACTGCCTGGGAGACGGATTATTGACTACCGCGGAGCTTGAGGCGATGAACAAAGAGGATTTTACGACGATAGGAGCCTTTGTTCAAGAATTTAAGAAGGGTGCGTGGAAGGTCCATGGGATTTCGGAGGAAGCACTGTGCGCCATCTTCCTGGGGTTACTCACGGCATTGGAGGCCGTCGAGTTGACGAGGCATGGGGGAGGTAGCACCAAACTCACCTAGGCCACTATTGACAGAGGGGTGGAAGTTGGGTGTTTGGACCAGGTGGAGCAATGTCAGGTACGCCTGCAAAGGCAGAAAAGAAAGGAAAGAGATGCAACCGCTTCTGGGACCCCGGGAGTAACAAGGATTGTTACAGACGTATTGGTACAGTTGGGGTATGTGACAGAGCCGGTGGTGCAAAGGAGAGTAGTAACGACTGTCCAAGTGAAAGGTAAGGAGCCGGTGATAGAGGAGGCTGTTCAGGAGGAGCTTTGGGAAGAGGAAGAGCCGGTGCCGCATCGCTTAATGAAGGCTCAGCGCAAAGTGCGTAACTTGGCGCAGGGCGGACAGGGATCAGGAAAAGCGGAGGCGCCTCAGGCCTTGACAGCGACCCCTTTAAATTTGGTGGCTCCATCATCTAGTACAGGCCCCTCGCAAGGAGGGGCGCCCTCCTACGGACAGTGGCCCTGGCCGGTGATTAATGCAATTGTACCATGGGGTAGCCCGCCGTCAGTAGCCAGACCACAAACGAGTATGCCGCCACCCATCTACCCCGCAGCCCAGACCCAGCCTGTGGCCCCGCCACCGTCACCCACTCCCAGTTCATAGGGAAGCGTAGCTGGAGGTGGGAACTAGGGGCAGGGCAATCAAGGCAATGGAGGGAGGGGTGGAGGAAGGGGGCGAGGCAGGAATGGCAGCAGAAGAGAAAGGTAATGGAATGGTCAAGGTCAGGGTTACCAAGGCCAAGGGAATCAAGGCTAGGGGTACCAAGGCCAAGGGTACCAAGGCCAAGGGTATCAAGGCCAGCGGGATCAGGGAAGTCAGGGGTATGGAAGACCCCGTTTTGACTGGAGGACGGCCATCTGCCAACATTGTGACCAACAAGGCCACACCATAAGGTTCTGTAATATAAGACGAGAAGACGAGAGGAGCGGGTTAATTTCCTCCATTATGGATGGGAATATTTACGATCAGTTTGGGGAGGCCATCGATAGAAGGTTTGGAGGAGTGAGGGCGGAAGCCCAACGAAGAGCGGCAGCTGGGCCGCCACCCCCTGCCATGTTCAGGTTATGGCAGGAAAAGGGAGAACCACCGATTGGGATAGAGGAAGTAAGAAGCGATAAGGAAGTGACTCAAGGGCCACGAGGAGGAAGTAAGAGGGAAGAACCCATAATCATCGAGTCAGATGATGAGAATGAGGAAGAACGGATGGAACCTCTGTCCGTCTTGTTGGGGAAAATGGAGGACCTGTTGGATAAGATGGGGAGGTACCAATTGAAGTTGGTGGGCCTCTGTGAGGAAGTGAGAGAATGAATCTCTAGCATCCCCAAGGTGCTCCCCTACGACTCCGGTCCGGAATTAGCACCCAGGTGACCCGGAGTAAATATGGTGAGATCGTGCCCACAATCAAGATGATGGGGAGACCACTCACTCCGCAAGCGCGGTTGGCGCAGGCAGCACGAACGAGAAATCAAGCCAGAGTTAGTGCCAGCCAAGAATCTCCGAGGAGAAAGCATGAGCCAGGAAAAATAAAGGAGGTTGTGGAAGTGGAGGATGACGACAATGAGAAGGAAGAGGACGAGAGGCTATGCAGGAAGGAGGATCAGAGAGCGGAGCAGCGGGAAAGGAAAAAGGGAGCAAGGGGAGAAGCCGAACCGGTCATACGTGACGGACCGCCCAAAAGGAAGAAGTATGCGGTTCGATTGGAGGAGGGGTTTGGCGTGGAGAAAGTGATCGACCGACTGCTGGAAGGGCATAATGACCTCATGACCCTGAAGGAAATCCTAGCGTCGACCCCGTGACTCCACGATGAACTGAAGGGGAGGTTGTTGTGGCGCTTGGTGGCCAACGTCCATCTGGGCACAATTCTGCCCAAGAAGGCAGAGTGGGCGGAGTCAGGCACAAAGATGGATTGGAAGTGTGTGGCCTGCGACACGATGGATTTGGTGGTGAAGGGTTCCAAGTGCGCGGTAATGGTGGACAGAGGGGCAGAGATGAACATTATTCGGGAGGCGGACGCGATCAGATTCGGGCTCGATATAGACCTTTCCGACTACGGTATTCTGCACGGAGCCAGCTGCAAGGCCGTATTTTGTGGGACAACCTCGAATGTACTTATCGAGGTTGGAAAGGTGAAGGCCTGGGCTTGTTTCTTCATCATGCCGGACGTGGATTACGGAATCCTCCTGGGAGGTCATTCCTAAGCAGGACGGAGACCGTGATATTCAATAAGCATGACGAGACGTTAATCCTCCTCTTATGCGATCCTGCCTGCGGGAATTACGAGATAATTACTTGCAAGAACAATGGGCCAAGGAGTATAAGGAACCGGCCCAATCCAGGATCATTCACGATTGAAGAGTCGGAAGGTGAGCGTCGGAGGCTCCGGGCAGAGCCCGAAGCAGGATAGAGGGTGAAAGCATTTTCTCTCAGCCTGTTAGATGTTGGGAAGGCCATGGACTTGGTGGCCGCGCATGAGATGGCAGATCCGGATGCCATCCAGGCTCTGAGGGAGCAGGTTCTGAAATGCCCCGAGGCAGGAATGTTGTAGCTGGTATATCGGCTCCCGGGCAGCGGAAGGAACCCCGCATCAGCGCAAGCACAATCTGTGAGTCGGCCTTTTTTAGGGGACGGCTAAAGTAGGGCTCCCAAAGGCGGTACAAGACGGTAGATAAGAAGTGTCGTCCGGTTCCCGTCCTCGTTACAGAAGATGAGGAAGCATACTACGAGAGGGAACGAGGGTTGATACGACGAATGAGGAAAGGTGCTCTAGCAGGGCCATGTCGTATCAACGAAGGGAACGAGGGGAAGTTGATTATAGGGGAACCCGACTTTCTACTGCCTCAGGAGCGAACATTGATGGTGGAGTTGATGAAGAGGAGACATCGCTCCTATGCGTTTAGTGACGAGGAGCGTGGCAGGCTGGATGTGGACAGAATAACTATGATCCGCATCCATACCGTGCCACATGAGCCTTGGAATATGAGAGGAGCGCGATATCCTAATCCTGACGAGAAAAGAAAGGTGGTGGATTACCTGGACGGCAAAATACGTACGCACGTCGCCGATTATTCGAGTGGACCCTATGCGTCCCCGTGGTTCTGCTTTATCCAGCCTAACGGGACGCTGCGGTGAGTGCAAGATTTGCAAAGACTGAATGCGGTGACCATGCGGGATGCTGGAGGGTTGCCCAATGCAGACGCGCTGTCAGAATCCTGTGTTGGAAGGCCTATAATCTCACTTATAGACCTTTACTGAGGATATGATCAGCTCCCAGTCTACCCGTCGGACAAGCCTGTGACGGCTATGCACACGCCGCGAGGGTTAATCCACATGAACGTGGCCCCACAAGGGTGGACCAATGCGGTAGCAATGGTCCAACGGGCCATAATTTGGGCTATGCAGTCAGTCAACCCCCATATTACACAGCCATACATCGACGATTTGGTAGTGAACGGGCCGACGGTGAAAGAGAGCGACGAAGTCTCGCAAGGGGTAAGGCGCTTTGTCTGGAAGCATATCCAGGACCTCGAAAAGGTCCTGGGCCTGCTCGAGGAGCATAACCTCACGGCGAGCGGGGCCAAATCCAGACACTGCATGAGGCAAGCGATTATCTTGGGGTTCGTCTGCAGCGAGATGGGCCGAAGGCCGGATGTGAAGAAGACGGACAAGATTACTGAGTGGCCAGTTTCGTTCCACTCAATAACAGATGTCAGAAGCTTCCTTGGTATGTGTGGATTTTGGAGGTCCTTCGTCAAGAACTTTGCTGCTAAGACTGAACACCTGAGGATGAAGAATAAGTATGGGGTGAAGAACAAGAAGAGGTGGTGGCTAGGATGAAGAAGGAATTTCGAGAAGGAGGGTTGGTGCTAGAAGCGCCAGATTATGATGCCACGGAAACGCGACCCTTCATTGTCGAAACAAATGCCGGACCAACTGCCCTAGGGGGAGTTCTAATTCAGGCAGACATGGAAGGAAAGGAAAGACCCTTGCGATTTGAGAGTCGGACTCTCTGTACGATAGAGAGGAACTACTCTTAGTTGAAAAGGGAGACCCTTGCAGTCCTCCACTGTCTGCGGATCTTCCGGAACTACATCTTCAGCAAGAGGTTTATTTTGAGAGTGGATCCGACCGCCCTGGCCTACTCTCTAAGGAATTACTTTCCATCGGATCCGACGGTTGCCAGATAGCTGACGTACATCTGGATGTTCAATTTCGAATTGGAACGGATTCCTGGCAGTAAGAACCAGGCGGACGGGCTGAGTCGGATCAACTGGGATAAACAGGAAGGGGAGGTGGTGGAGAACACGCCCCCAGTTGATGGATTTCTGGATCAGGAAGAAGATGTTCGTCTCCACATCAATAAGTGGTCGCCGCGAGTGCCCAGCTGTGTAGGCTATCCCATCTGGCAGGCGCCGAATGGGTATGAAAGGAGGGCCGAGCTAGTCCTCAAACCCTTTGAAGAAGAGGATCCCTGAGGTGGTAAGGATGTTCAGTGGATGATGGAGTTAGCGCTGGCCAGCTTGCATAGCCTGGTGGAGGACGTGAGGGCGATTGAGGAAGGGCCTGGCCAGGTAGAACGGCATGAGGACCTGATGGGAGGAATGTATCTCCTCGTCAACACGTTATTGCAGGAAGCCCTCGACCACTCAGGCTCGTTGAACCCGACAGGGAATGTGGACGAAGTGCCCGAGAGCCAGGACAACGATTTCGAGGAGGGGGAGATTAAGGACGCTTTTCGTGCAGAGGAGTAAGATGGGATCTACCTAGAGCTGGGGCTTCTTCTGTCATGTGAAATGCGGCTTAGGGATGCAAGCGATATAGCTCAGAGGATGCTGCAGCGCTATTTAGTGCGAGACGGCCACGTTTTCGTGAAAAGAGAAGTGGGGAATCCGAGGAAAGTCGTCTGCAGTAGGAATCGCCAGATCAATGTCGTAGCAACGCTTCATGATGGCATTGCAGGAGGGCATCGAGGGGTACAAGCCACATATGCCAAGATAAGTGAGTTGTACTACTGGGATGGGATGATGGATATGGTCGAAAAGTTCTGCCGATCTTGCGTATCCTGCCAGGAGAGATCCCGTTTAAGGCAAGGAGAGACGCTGCATCGAAGGCTAGAGCGAGAGGTGGGGGAGGTAGTGCATCTCGATCTACTGTTTATGCCGCTTGGGGATCAGGGCAATAACTATATCTTCGATGCACGCGATAACCTGTCTGGCTTCGTAGACGGGCGTGCTATTCGCACAAAGACCGGGTTAGTCCTGGTGAGCTGAATCGAAGAGTATTATCTGCGCTATCCGTTCGTCAGGAAATTTGTAATGGACAGGGGATAGGAGTTTACCCGCCAGGAGGTGCAAGAATTGTTATCAAGGTATGGTGTAGCAGCCAACTACACCACGACCGCGCACCCCCAGGCAAATGCTCCCGTGGAGAGAGGACATAGTACCATTACGAGTCTCTTGGCTAAGTGGACCGAAGGTAGGCCTAATCAATGGCCAAGATACCTAAGGGCGACATTCTTTGTCGAGAACATTACAGTAAAAAGATCCACCAAATATGCACTGGCGACACTGTAGTATGGAAGGTATGCCACCTTCCCTATCGAGAGCTTTCTTAAGACATGGAGGCGCCAAGATCTGGAAGTTAACCTGTCATTTGAAGAGTTGCTCGATATTCGGGCGCGACAGATAGGGGCGATAGAAGAAAGGATCCAGGAGGCGTCTGATCAGGTGGCTAGAAGCCGTATGGATGATAAGGCTCGATGAGATCAGTCCGCGCGGATGAGGAAAGTACCCTTGGCAGTTGGGGATGTCGTGCTTCTCTACGATTCATCTCTAGAAAAGCAGTGGTCCAGAAAACTCGATAAGAGGTGGTTAGGTCCCTACCGGATCGTACGGGTTGGAGACTTCGGAGCATACCAGATTGAAGAGCTAAATGAGACTGAGTGGAAGGATTGGGTATCTGGAACGCGACTGAAGAAATTTAGGGCGAGAGAAGAGGTAAGAGAGAATGACCTGACTGCCTTTAGAATAGAAGTAGCAGGGTGTGTAGGTTAGGTAGAATGCATGCTGTATGAGTGTGGCCTGGTCTGGGCTTGCTTTGATTATCACCTGTTTGTTTACCCCAATGTGTGCCTGTTGTCTCCTTCGCCTGTTGTGCAGGTTTAACTTTACGAAGACAGTCATGCCAAGAGGAGGGCAGGGGACACGGTCGCCTCGGAGGCCGTTGGGAGCATCAGAAGGATATGAGCGGCATGGGCCTCGCCATCGAGAGAGTACTCCAGTGTACGACGATGGGGACATCGAGCTATTCCTGGACAGCTTTTGGGGTCATGCGAGGCGTATGGGTTGGACCGTGGCTCAGGCGATTCAGAGATTGAGGGGAGCAGGCAGGTTCGAGGAGCCCATTACCAGGATTCGTAGGGAGGCGACGACGAGGCAGGAGGTGGAGACGAGGATGCAGGAGCTGCGACCTTCGCCTGTGGGACCAGATGGCAGACCGATCCGCCTAGAGATCGGAAATGCGGCAGATTTTATTCCTGCCTTCGAGTGGTTCAGGCAGGGGCAGGGTATACCGAGAGATGAGTGGGCGAGGACGTTACCCCTCTGGACCAGAAAGGCGGAGAGGGCACTGACTACGCAGGTCAGAGACATGGCCCGGGACTGGGAGAGCTGCAGGGCATATCTGAGAGAGGCCTTTCGACGACCAGAGCCCCCTCAGCCCAGAGTCGAGAGGCGTCAGAGGAATCAGAGGCAAAGAGACCCTAAGCCCAGGGAGGCGAGACCGTCTGGAGGAGGACGGAAGACCCTAGCTAGAAGAGAGGAGGAACCGGAGCCGGAGCCAGATGCACGCACGCAGGAGGAGCCGCCCGCATTTGAGGGGCCCTTGAGGGAATTGGAGATGCATTTGGATATCTTTCGTTGGAGGGCGTCGCCTCGGGGCGAGGAGCATGGAGAGCAGGCAGAGAAGGTACCACGAGAGGAGGTGTCACGAGAGAAGGTGCCACAGGAGGAGGTACCACGAGAGGAGGTGTCACGAGAGGAGGTGCCACGAGAGGAGGTTAAGGATACTCAGCGAGAAAGAGGGCTAGGTGATGAGGGGAGACGTGCAGGGAAGGAAGTGATAGAGGTTGGAGAGGACATGCCCCCACAGACGCTTGCGGTGGGTTTGACACTCGAGGATGCACCAGGGAGCACTCGCCACACGGGAGAGAGGTTGCAGAGAGAGGAGGCCCCATTACCTTCATTAGAAAAGGCTCCTTCGCCAGAGGGGAAAGCATAAAGAAGGAGGGAGAGGGCAGCTGTAAGGAAAGAGGCTTTGACCCTGATTGACAGACATCTAACAGCTTATGCCCTGGAGCACCCAGACCTGGAGGAGCCAGCACCTGCAGAGCCGCGCCAGGAGCCATGCCAGCCCGAGAAGGAGATGGAAGCAGAGATCCCAAAGAGGGTCGACGTCCGGACGAGGGAAAGAACGCCAGCTGAAGAGACAGCTGAAGAAAAGAGGGCGAGAAGAACCAGACGGATAGATAAGATATGGCAAGAGAGGCAGAGGTTGGAGGCAGCGGGGGAGCTTCCGGAGCAGCAACAGGAGAGGCAGAGGTCGGAGGCAGCAGGGGCACTCCCAGGTCAGCCACCCAGCGCGTTAGCTAGGGCCCCTAAGATCCCCGAGATGTGGAGGGACTTCTGGGAGCAGAAAGGAGAGGAGCTTCCGTCGCCAGACAGAGCCGGATTTGGGGTGGCAAGGAAGGCGGAAGAAAGGTTGGATCGCAAAATCAAGTTCCTGGCCAAGACTACTTTTGACCGACTCTTGTTATTGGAGAGCGATTTGGCAGGGAAGAAGATGAAGGAAGCAAGCCATGGAGTACGCCTGGAGGCTATGGAGGTGGAAATCCAGGAACTCATGGCATTGGTAGCTTGTCAGGCAGCTATTATTAAGAGCCTGAGGCAACAAACCCAGGGAAAGGTGGACAAGCCAGAGACCAGCAGGCAGGGAGAGCAGAGGCAGCCAAGACATGGATTACCAGGACAACCATCTGCAACAGAGCCTCGCCAGGAGCCACCTATGGGGAGAGTTATCCTGGAGCCAGAGGAGGCGAGAGCCCAGAGACAGGCGGAGAGAGAGGCGTTCGAGTTCAGAGCCCCTACCGAGCTCGCGACGCTGCCAGTAGCAACGGTGGGCCCAGTCGTTGAGGAGGGGCTACCACCATCTAGCAGTGAGCCGGCTCAGAGCTCAGCAGAGGGATTCATGGGCATGCTCCTTGAGGCGGTGCATACTATGCAGGAGGAGGTGAGTTTGTTTTCACCTGAGCAGAGGATAGAGGAGCCTCTTGAGAGAGAGATAGGGATTGAGGCAGAGGGTGTCATCGAGAGCGGGCTCCAGAGGATGGGCACGCCTGAGTATGGGCCAGAGGAGATTGAGGAGCAGCCCATGGCAGTGCCAGGAGAGACACTCGAGAGGAGACCTAAGAGGTTGGACACGCCTGAGTACGTCCCGGTGACAGGGGATGTGAGGAGCTGAGTGGGATCTTGGGCTACTGGATCTGGGTCTGGGGACCGGTTCCCGGGACAGAGCAGCAGGAGGTCATTAGTACCGCAGCTCCTCGATCAGAGGAGCAGGGGGTTATCAGTACCTTGGTAGGATCTCCTTCATCGCCACCCCCTCAGCCCAGGAAGAAGAAGTTCAAGAGAAAGATTGATCAGCTATGCTTCTACTGCAAGAGGGACGTGCATCTGGCTCTGGACTGTTTCGAGTTCCTTGAGGATAAGGCAGAAGGGAAGGTCTCGGAAACAGGGGATAAGATGTATGATAGACAGGGTAGGATAGTAGAGAAGTCCGCAGATGGCCTTAGCGCTCAGTTATATAGGAAAAACCAGGAGGAGTTGAGGAGGTAGGGCCGTTTTGTCTATGTAAGTGGGCGGGTATCTTGTGGGACATCAACTTAGGTTTTGTGTGATACCCTCTTAGACTTAGAGGACCTTTTTGTTGATTGCTACTAGTCTAGATTTGAACTCTAGTGTTCCTATTGAGTTGGGGTCTTAAGGATCAGGGTGATTTAGATGAGGCATATACATATTCAGGTGGCCTACGCACTGGCTTTGAGAGACAGATCTGACATGTATTCTAGGGGTTGTTGTCAGTATAGTTTTGGTGTGGCTTGAGTTGAGCGAGCTATGATTTTGAGACACTTTTTGTGTGAGACATTTTGTTCTCTGAGTGTATATTATGATGAGGTTTTATTTCGGGGACCATTCTTATATGTGATGATCATTTGTCTCTCTCACATGTGTGGTTGTACTCTGATGTATGGTGGGTTTGTGTGGACAGTGTGTGAAAATCATCTTATTTTGCCATGGGTACTGTGAATATGATTGTAAGCAAAACTGTCTACTCCTCGGTATACTCATGCGACCTGCCCCAGGGCAGCTGATAGGGCAGAGTATAAGGAGAGGAAGCGCAGCCCGTCTGTGAAAGGTTGTGAGGATTTTGAAGATTTATGAGCCCTGGAGGCTCAAAATGCTTACCATATTGATTTTTGATTGCTTAAGTTGTGAGTGAGGACCCATAAGATGGTCTCTAAGTGATGTTTATTTTATGATAAGCTCCCTTGGATTTTGGAGAAGGGGGATGTTTTATGATGTTTTGTGCTGTAACGAAACCCCTCGTGACTTTGAAAAAGGGTGTGTTTGGTTTCATGATGAGACCCCTTGTGACTTTTGGAAGAGGGAGTGTTTTTGTTCGGTGGCGAGACCCCTCGTGATTTTTTGGAAGAGGGGGTGTTTTATTTATGATGAAAACCCCTTGGATTTTTTGCAAAGGGGATGTTTTTGTTGTTGGGAAACTCACCTTCAAAGGTGAGTAAACTGATTTATGACATGGTAAGTTGTCTGATGAGTGATAAAGTCTGATGAAAAGGGCCACTCTGATAAAGTCTGAGCGAGAGACGTCTTAGGACGGGTGGCTGCTGGCTCTGATCAAGTCAGGGGTCACGGCCTGGTGAACCTAGCGGTGATTTTGTTTGTGAGCGTGCGAAGGATGCCATGCCTATTGTGGAAGGACTGGTAAATGCCTTCGGACCCCTGCGCATCGCGCATTGGGCCTGTGATTTTGTTTTGTGATGCCCCGTCTAACCACCTTTGCTAGTTCTGGGACATATTAAAGAAAGACCAAGCTAATGGAAAAGAAGTTAGTACCTCTTGGGCGTAACCCCATTGGATGGCTGCTAGCCGGCGCAACCTGGCTGCGGGACCGCGTGGGTAAGAGTTTAAGGGGGGGTGCCCGCCCCAGTGAAATTACTCCGCGGGATTGTTTTTGGAAAAATCCTGATTGAACGCTTATCAGGAGAAAACCTATCGTTGCGTAACCAACGAGGGTACTGCTGCTAAATAACAATGTAGTGGGCCGTAGTCCTGGTCCGATCGGCCAAGCTATGGTGGGTCAAGGTGGAGGCCTAGCCTTTCTGTACTAGACTGCAGAAAGAGCTGAGCGGATATTAAGTATACATATATACTAATGTATTTGATTCCGAAAAATTTTTGCAGGAAGGCGAGAGTGCCTTCAAAAAGTCTCGATTAAGGCCCGTGTCCCTAGTTTTTGCCAGGACTAGGGGCACCCAATGAGAAGCCGAAGGTTGTCTAAGACCGGGGAGAGGACGATTGGGAAGGTCTTTAGAACTTATGCGGTCAGCATCCTAATTTCTGGGCGGTGAGAGGCCCAGGTTAGAAACCTGGCAGCATATAGTTGTGAAGGCATGCTTTGATGGAGGCCTCAACGCTGTGTTTGTCGGCTAATTGGATTGACTCCTGTTTCATCAACATTTGGGGTGTGGATGGATTTATAGCTTTCTGATTTGGCGAAGCGACGGGGACGTCGCTTAATATGGTCCGGTAAGCTGTCGGTGCAAATACCCTTACAAGGGTATCCGCCCTGTTTTTTGCAAGTGACAGAAAATAGTTTTGGTCTAGAGTTTAAGTATACCTCGCTAAGCACGGCCGCGTCTATAATTGTGTGACAGGGTGGTTGACCATAATAGCGAGTGCGTGGGCGCGCAGGTTTAAGGCGCGCGTGATTCTTTTCTGTTATTGATCGTAAAGCCGGCCCGGACCTCGGTCGTTCTGCTTGGTATTATTACTATTATTTATTTATTTTTGAGTAAGTAGGAACTAGGGATATTTCCCTTTTGATTGGTGTGCTGGCCGAGGCGAGTGCGAGTGCGAGGACGACGGCGACAACGGCGACCATGTGCCTGTGGCAGGTCTCGGCACGCGAAGGAGCGCAAGTGGCGGCTGTGGTACAACTTTGGTAAGTCGTCGTAGACGCTGGGCAGCCGCGCGTACGGTTGTAGGCGGAGATGAGACTCAGGCCAATTACCCTGGTCCTGAGCGCCGCGCCGTACCGCCTTATATGGCGTTCGGCGTGTTTTGGTCTCAGGCTTGGGCTTAGCCCCTATAGGTTACGGCGTCGAACTTTCATCAGGGAGATTCAGGGATCAAGGCCACCAGGCGTCGGCGCAACAACTGGAGTGGAGCGTCGCGGAGGGAACCGACAGGGTTGAGGGCCGTCAAGGCTATCCCCCTCGGTTTTGTTAATAGGCGCGGTGGTAGACCCGGTCCACGGAACCGGTGGGGCCTTAGCAGTCTTCGGACCCTGGTTAGGGATTTTCAGTTATGTTATTTTATCTTATTTTGGTTATTTTATTTTGTTTTATTTTATTTTGGTATTGATACCACTATTCATTGTCCCGCTTTGGTTTGGGACAGGGTACCGCGGCTGGTTGATTCGAGCTTTGAAGGACCGCGGGTGGGGTACCAATGAGGCCGAGTCCTTTAGGACATCCGTAAAAATTGGAACGATACATGGCCCATGGGGCAAGGCCTGCAGGCTCCGTAGCAGGCCCACGTCTGCATGTTCGGCCGTTGTTTTTTAGCTGGCTCGAACAGC